CAGATTAGACACTGACTGTTTTTTTTCCCTAAACAAATACTGTTTAATTATTTTGGAAGGAGGCAGTCAATAAAAACAAAAAAATCCCTACTATAAAACTAGGCAAATGCCACTAATGACCAGTGATTTTCTTGCTGTACATTATGAGGAAGTTATCATTTATCGTGCCCTTCCTCTCTGCACCTTTCTGAGATGTTTCTAAACTCAGAATTGACTACATGCATTTTTATCCCCTTTTAAGGTAGTTGAAGAAAAAGGAGGTTAACAAAAGCTATTAAGAATTTTAAAATATGCTAAGTTCATCCTACTTACAAAATTCAGCAGTATGTTGCAGGCTATCTATTATGCAAATTGTTGGTGCCTTTTTTTTTGCCAGTTTTGGTGAGTAATTAAACAGAAGTTAATGACTTTTTAAAGACAGTTGCATATTTACTGTGCTGAACTTGAAGACATGGCAATAAACACTATTCATAATGAAGCACAGAAAGAAAAAAAAAGGCTTAAAAAATGAACAGGAACTCAATGAAATGTGGGACAATATTAAGTTGTTTAATATATGTGTAATCGTTGTTCCAGAAAGAGGAAGAAGACAGAAAAATATTTGAAGAAATAATGGCTGAAAACTTTCCAAATTTGCTGAAAAATATAAACATGTATATCCAAGAGTTCAATGAATTCCAAGAAGGATAAACACAAAGAAAACTACAAGGCATATCAAAATCAGATTGTTAGATTCAGTAATAAAAAGAAAAATCTTCAAAGCAACAAGAAAGAAGAAGACATACATACAAAGGAAGAAAAAAATATTCCACTGATTTCTCATTTAAAATAATGCAATCCAGGAGACAATGGAATGACATCTTTTAAATGGAATGAATGAAATTTTTAAAAACCTGTCAGTCTAGAAGTCAATGTCTAGAGAAAATCTCTCTCAGAAACAGAGTAAAAATAAAGACTTTTTCAGAGAAATACAAGTTGAGAAAATTAAGCACCAACAGACAGACATGTGCTTCAAGAAATGTTAAAGGAGGTTCTTCATGCTGAAGGAAAATAGTTCCAGATGAAAACTCAAATCTAAACCAAAAGAAAGAAGACCAGAATCAACCTATTTGTGGAAAAATAGAAAATACTTTTTTCTGAGTTTTAAATTTCTTTAAAAGATAATGAACCCTGGGCTTCCCTGGTGGCTCAGTGGTTAAGAATCCACCTGCCAATGCAGGGAACACGGGTTCGAGCCCTGGTCCGGGAAGATCCCACATGCCGTGGAGCAACTAAGCCCATGCGCCACAACTACTGAGCCTGCGCTCTAGAGCCCACGAGCCACAACTACTGAAGCCTGCTTGCCTAGAGCCCATGCTCCACAACAAGAGAAGCCACCACAATGAGAAGCCCGCGCACCGCAACAAAGAGTAGCCCCCACTCTCCGCAACTAGAGAAAGCCCGCGCACAGCAAGGAAGACACAACCCAGACAAAAATAAAATAAAATAAATTTATATTAAAAAAAAAGATAATGAATCCCTTCCACTACCCTTTTGCTTTCTTCTTTCAATACAATTCAGTCTTAAAGCCATTAGATTGGTCCAAGCAAAGCAGGCATCCATGCCAGGGTAAGGGGCGCAGAGGGGGCTCCGTTGGCCCAGAACAGGGCATCAGAACTAGGGTACATAAAGGGGAGCATCCACTCAGTGGAGCAGCCTTCCTTGCACAAAACAGGTGAGGAGGGTGTCCCCAAGGAGGAATGTCCCAGAGTAGAATATCAGAGCCCCAGTGGAAAAAGGAAGACAGAAGAGGAAGCATGGCTCACTGTGGGATACTGGTGTCCAAAGTAGATGGAGCCCAAGAAGAGGACATCTGCCCAGCACAGATAGTCAGAGAACAAGCAGACTGAGAAGGGCATTCGTCCACATAGAAGTATAATGTAAGATGTTGAAGTCTGCAAGGAATGAGGAGGAAGTCCCTAAGGAGGGGGCAGCCACTGTGGGATGTCAGAACCTGAGCAGGACAAGGAGGGAGAACCGAGGAAGTGAAACCCTGTATAACATACCAGGAGCTAAGTGGGATGTGGAGAGTGGCTCTATTGGGGGAGGAGGGTGGCATGTGGTGACAGAGCCTACTCAGTATAAGGTGGGCATCCCCAAAGAGGGGCAGCCCATGCATGGAGCGTCAGAGCCTGAGTAGGGTAAGGAGGGCATCTACATAGGAAGGTACTCAGTGCAGAGCGTGTTAGCCCAAACAAAGTTAGAAAGGCAACTACATAGGAGGAAAAGCAAATGGCATAGAATGTCAGAGCCCAAGCAGTATGAGGAGGGCCTCTGCATGGCAAGGGATGTCAAAGCCTGAGCAGGATGAGGAAGGTATCCACACAGGGAGGGAACAGTGGCAGCCACGTGTGTGACTGCTTCCACACAGGCGGAGTGATCAAATAAGTAAATACATGAATAATGAGAGCTGGGATTCTCACTGTTGGAGAAGGACATTGCAGATATGTAAAAGGAGAAGACTAGTACGAGCCCTGTGGTGCTAAATTGGACCTGGAAGTATCCACATACAGTTTAGGTTTAGTTTAGGTTTTTTAGGTATATAGAGGTACATAGATATGGGGGGAAATATGTATATGTGTGTTCCTACTTACAGTCTCTAGTTCTGTCTACTGAGAAGGCATGGGAGAAGCAACACTTCAATGGTGATGAACACAGATAGAGTTCAAATCTTGGTTCCTATGTACAATTCTCCATTAAAAGGGATTCAAAGAGTCCTAGAGAAATGACCTATCCAGGGTGGAGCACAGAAAGTACAAGAGGAGCCTGGGACATCACGCTGTGCTATAAAGTAAGGAAGTGCTCAGAGGATGATAGTTACACATCAAAGGGACAGAGAAGGCAACCTGAAAGGACTCCCACTGAACCTGGAACAGTTTGAGCTCCAAAATAAATAGTGATAGTAATGGATTATAACCCATTGAATAAAATAGAAAACCATGAGTCCATACTGATATAAATAAACAAAAAGTTTGATAAGGAATGGGTATATTTATACAATTGTCAAGTACCTACCCACGAAATGCACAGCCATTACAAAGGGGGCAGCTGGATAGTGGAGAAGCCTAGCAGACACCACTTTCAACAAGCAGCCGCCGTGAAATCACCAATCCTGGGCAAATCCAAATCCTGTGCCACTGGTAGGATGCAGTGAGAAGAGCACAGCATGATGTCCGTGGTATTGTCAGGAAATATGCAGAGCCTGAGTCTATTCTTGAGGAAACATAAAACAAGCTCAAATTAAGAGATCTTCTCCAGTAAACCTGGCCTGATCTTCATGTCAAGCGAATGAAAATTAAAGAAAGGCAGACTAAAGGAGAGGAAGGACCATGATAATCAACTGTTCTGTGTGATTCTGCACTGCATCCTTTTACATTATTGGGATAATTGGGGATACCCAAATTAGGTCCGAGGATTTTGATGGCTGACTGTAAGAGGATGCCCTTGTTTATAGTAAGTACACCAATAATATTTAGGGGTGATAGGGCATCGTGTCAGCAACTTACTCCCAACTCGTTCAGGAAAAAAAGTTCTTTGTGTTGTACTTGCAACTTTTCTGTTTGAGATTGCTAAAAATGAAAAATACATGCTGAATAAAATATAATTGACTGTTTAAAGCAAAAATAAATTCTAATGTAGGGTTTATAAATACATAGAAATAAAATGCATGGCAATAATAGCATGAAGCACAGGAGGGGGGAAGTGAAAGCATACTCTTGTTAGGTTCTTACACCATATGTAAAGGGATAAAAAATTAGTCTAAGGCATAAAGTGCAGTAAATTAAAAATGCAGCTGCTTACGATGTAAATAAAGAAACAGCAGTCAAAACGTTGGAGTTCAAAGACAAAAAGCAGCTGCATAAGTGTAGGAAGGAGTGTGATATGGCTTAGAAAAATAGCTAAGAATGACATATTAATATGACACAAAAAGAGAAATAATTAGGGCAACAGTAATAGACTCTGTTACTTAAAGCTTTAAAATTTCTCTCATCAGAAGACTCCATGGGCAAAATTGAAAGCAAGCATCAAGTGTAGGGGAAAACATCTCAAATACATTCCAGGAGAAGGGTGAATATTACCAGTATATAAAGAGCTATTATGAACGGTAAGAAAATTATAAGAATTCCAATTTAAAAACAAGCAAGAGATGAACAGGCAATTTATAAAGAGGAAACAGTAGACAAAAATGTCCTCATCCTAACTCTATGCCATATATAAAGTGCAAGATTAGATATAAATATAGGTGTAGATATCTTGTTTCCCAAAATAACTTGAGCTCAAGTCTCTACATTTAGAAGGATGGATTTAATACATGGAATTTTATAACGTAAATCTGCCATCAACCAGAATAAGACGATATTTTACAACTCTTCCACCACTTATCAGGTAGTCCCACAAAGTAGAAATTGCTTATTTATCAAAATAGGAAAGAATATAACCAGTAGTTGGAATTATGGCTTATATTTCAGAGATCAATTCAATGAGTTGTAAGCTATAGATACATGATTCTTGTTGTTATGAACTCATGATCTATGGAAGAAAGATGATAGGCATAAATATTTTAACTAACTGAAAGGTGCAATATGACAAGCCCCATTTATATTCTGGAGTGTAGATATAACGTTAAGATTAAAAGATTAGGGATTAGAGATTAAAAGCTAAGCATTGGGTTATCTAAAATCTGTTGTACCTTACATGACAATATATGCTTGAAGGAGGAAGGAAAGAAAGACATTCCTTTCATTCTTATTTACTATAGCTTTAATTTCTCCATTTTTGATTGTTATAACAATTTACAGCCATCCAAATTGATGACTTCCAAAAAATGAAATAGCCCAAAGCTAGTTGTAAAAAATATTTTTCTTCAAAATATGGCTTCCATCATTCATGCAAGGTTCATAAAACCACTCTTTAAACAAACATTGTGAAAATAACTAGTTAAGATATGAATTCATACGAACCTGCAGTACTGTTCTTTTGGGTAACTGTGAAACGTCAAATTCAGGAATCTCACCTACAAGAAAGACTTCAGACACATTTTGTTGAGGAGAAATGTATTCTTCTTTAGAATTTACTCTGAGTTTTAACTTGCTTCTCCATTTTTTAAATTGAAGTTCATGCTTTAACATCTGCCATGAAAATAATTTACAAATTCCATGGAACTCTTGTAAGGATTAAATGAGATGATACATGTAAAACACAATGCTTGATACAATCATAGCACCAATTAAACATTATTTATTATCATCATTGTCATTATATAAATTATCATTGTCCGGAGCATGTGTAATAATGTGTAGTCTCAGAATCACCATTATAGATCATTTCCACCAGTTGTCATACAACATTGGCATAGGCAGTCACCTTGAAGATGTGGTCCAGCCTTCTCTTTTAGAGATGAGGAAGCTGAATCCCAGAGAGTCAAGGTTCTGGTAATGCCAGAACTGGTATGTGGGGCATGGAAGGGTGAGGGTTAGCATGGAGCTATAGAAGGAGAGTTAGGGGAATTCCCCGGCAGTCCACTGCTTAGGACTCTGTGCTCTCACTGCCCAGAGCCTGGGTTCAATCCCTGGTCGGGGAACTAAGATCCCACAAGCCACATGGTGTAGCCAAAATGAAAAAAATAAATTAAAAATAAAAATAAATAAATAAATAAATATTTTTAAAAAGAGAGAGTCAGAAGAAAGAATTTGGAGAATTGCCTAATCTGTCATTATAGGAAGTCCCCATTTTAACTTTCAATACATTCCTTAAAACTGCATAATCAAGAAAACACCCAAAGGGTAAATAAGTGTTGTACCCATACAAGCACACACACACACACACACACACACACACACAATTTTGATGTAATATATGGATATATTAGAGCCTAAGGAAGAGCAGACATTGGAGAGCTAGCACGTAGAAGTGTTCCCTGCCTCTCCTCCCAGCAGACACCTGCCATCCTTACTCCACCCTAGTGAATACTGGCCTAGTAATATTGTTAGGCCAAGATAGCACATAGCTAAAAGAAAACATTTTCTTTAACTATTTAATACATATCTATGTTGAGGATATTATTATCATATATATTTATATATATCAACTACTACAAAACATTGTGCTCAGTGTATGGGGATGGTTAAGAGAACAATACTGCCTGCTCTCAGGGATGTTCAGTTTAAGGGGATGTAAAAGGGGCAGCCTGGTCATGCACAGTTACCTTTTCACCATTAGACAATTAATGACCAGGCTAGGGGCCAGGTCAAAACATTAGCTTAGTACAAGAAGTGGTGGAAAACACAGAATGACCAGACTAAAACAGTGGTACCCAAAGTACAACCGTTTAACTGGCAACGTTGAAAATGTAGTCCACAAAAGGCAGGTGCTAGAGGACATCCGGTAAGAACACCAGTTCAATACCAGGGGATGGTAAACTTCTAGAGAGTAAGAATGATCAATGCTTTGTGCGTCTCAGTCTCCTCCGCAGACTCTAGCACTATTTCAAGCATTATGTGAGTAATAAATCTTTTCTTACTCTCTTGGTACATACGTAGTATCGTCAGTGTCAATATCTGAAACAATCTGGGGTGAGAGGCATTGATCTTCCCCTCCACAGGGCAACCATAACACAAGGGGGTTAATTTCTTCCTATTTTTCTCTTTCCTATTTATCCCAACTTTGTATTTCAAAGAATATTAATAAAATGTTACCTACTAAATAATGTAACTACAAAAAATTCCAGCATGTTTCTATGTCTGTTCCTACTAGTTACTATGAATATTTTAAAACATTAAATGATAATATACTGTACTGATAGCTAAAGCAAACTAGAGATACTTTTAAGTTTGGAGGAGTTTGCTTGGATCCTCTGTTTTGATTGATTTAATTCCTAATGGGTGTCCCAGTTAAGAATGATCCTTTAAATTTAGCAATTTAGTAGTTTAAAAAATAATTTAGTATTAAGATTATAATTTATTAAATTGAATGTTGAAAAGAATAAATAGCAATTTAATCTTATCTGGAAAAGAATAAATTTAGTCTTTATCATTTATTTCTCTGTTATAATCATATCAAACAGTTTCTCTTCCACTTTAGACACCTGTATCCACCTAAACACTTGCTTAAACAAAAAATCTTGGTGTCTTTATCAATAAATTTAAACAAAATGTTAAAAAGATTTTTCCTTGATGTTCATAGTTCAAATGAAACAACAAAATTTTTTAGGAAATATTTTGGGTAGCTGAGGTGACATTTAAATTACTAAGTTAAAAGAACAAGGACCCCATTAAAAGTATATAATATTCAGGACTTTAGTGTTTTCCACACAGCATTATTATCTGAGGCAACATCAATGTAACAGCAAAATTCAGTTTCTAAAAAAACTGTTTCCAATATGCCATACCAGCTCATCTTCTCTCTCTTTATACTTATGTCTTGCTTTATCCCTCCATTTAGTTAGGATAATTATCAGCTTGTAGCAGTAGAACATCTGTTGTACCCGCAGTAGTGTATCTGAAGAAAGTGCATTAGATTACTGTATATAGTTAAAGCTGCTCTCAAAAAACAAAGTGTTTAATATTCTATCATGTTTATAATATGAACCAATGTTGCATCTAATAGTTTTTTATTTTAATTACATATGAAATTACTTTTGACAGCAGTAGATAGTACTCCTGAGACTTTATTAACCTGTAAACATCACCTTTGCCCTTATAAATTAAGATATAATAGATGCATTAAAATGTCAAGATATATATCATTTCTTTTTTAACAAATCTGTTCTTTATAAAACCAGAACTTCCACATTTATTCGTAGAAAT